AAGTGATTTCTGGTGATCTAGGGATAGTTATTAATGTTTCTGAAATAATTAAGTTAAATAGTCTGATCCAGAATCTGGTTACCCTTAGACATTGCCACAATGTATGGAATATAGTTCCTGTTTGACCACAAAATGTAAAACAGTCAAAAGATGAATGCGGGTGTAGTTTGGCCACTTTAGAAGAAACCAACTACCACCTCAAAAAAGTTTTATAATTGACTTCCATTAGGTTTTTGTTGTTAAAAAGTTTAAAGAGGATATTATCTGTGTCCTTCCATTGCGATAAATCTAATGTAATATTGAGATCATGCTCCCACTGCTGCATGTATGGCAGCATATGTTTGAGATCCATATTATTACTATAAATGAGAAGATTATATAATACTGAGATCCAATCTTTGTAGTGTTTCTAGTTTTGCGAGAACTCAAACATTGTCAAAGACTTCGGGCAGGTAGCATGTTTTATTTTAGTTGTAAGGAAAGATATAATTTGGTTATATTATATTGAAACAATTCCGTTGGGGGAAGTGCAGTTTAGTTTGCATGTGTTCCAAAGTCTAAAGACTGCTAAAATCATTAAGATTGCATAGTTCCCTATTTTCAATAAGCCTTTAGTTTCCTACCAATGAAAGTGCCATGGAATTAGGAGTAAATTTGGGATTATTAAGAACGGGAGCTAAGCGAGTGCGGATTGATAGAGTGTTCTCCTAGTTCTCTGCCCGTCCAGGAGGGCGCGACCTACTGGGGATCCACATTAAGGCATCAATAGAGCCAGAAGAACATGACAAGGCTTCTATGGAAACCCATTGGGGGAAGAGGTCTGTGTAAAGCAGTATAGGCTAAGTGTTCTATCTGAGCAGCATGGCAATAAACCAAAAGATTAGAGATTCCAATTCCTCCTCAAAGCTTGGGTCTATGCATCAGTAACCTGTTGATTCGGGGTTTTGAATGGCTCCATACAAATTGGCAAATTTAGTTTTGCAGCATTGTCAAATATTTTTTCATGACCACTATGGGCAGTGTATCCTGCGCAGAGTATCCTGGAAAGAATGTTCATCTTGAGAGAATGAATCCTACTGGACCAGGAAAGAGGTGAATTGAACCACCTGCCTGGATCATTTTTAAGATGCTTGAAAAGAGATGGATCATTTTTAGAATATAACATATGTAAAGATGGATTCCTGATCCTGAATAAGGACTTTTATAAACCCATTGAAAGTTATTTCACAGCAATGGAACTGTGGATTGTGGTAAGCTAATATTCATGGCTATAGTCTTCTTCTTAATCAGCAATAAGCTTGATAATGGATAGACATACATTGAAGAATGAAGCTATCTTGCAATCAACTTCCAGTAAAGGAGATTATCCTCCTGTGAACATGGATAGTAAAGAATCTTCAAATATGGATATCTTTAGATGTGAAGAATCTTGATCTAGTTATTCAGTGAACTGGCATTTAATGATATGCCCTTTTGGAGGCCAAGTAGTGAATAAATTACTCTTCTGATTAAGAACAAAAATTCCATTTAGTAAGTTATGACCAAAAGTTTTGTTTGATATCAAGTATACATCATAACATTATGCATAATAAAGGTTACTTGCCACCAGTGGAAATCATAGCAGTTACATCGCCATACAATACTGAGAGTACTCCCGGGAGTATGAGCTTAACCTCTTGGCGCTTGTGCCTCCCGGCCCTTTAAGAGTTTCAGAAGTCGGGAAGCGGGGTGGGGTTTTAGGGTCATGTGACTGCCATATTTCGCCATCACGGCAGTCTCATAATCGGAAAAGGTCCCGATCGAAAGGGGAGATTGGGACCTTTCCTGGGAGTAGCGGAAATATGTGCTGGGAAACTGCAGTACTTCTCATACTTCCTTCCATTGTTGGCCAAACTTAGTTATAAACCTAATAGGTTCATTTTGCTTCTTTGTATTATCTTCACTTCTATTTTCAAGTAAGTCACAACAAGCTATACTTACAGTAAGGCCTTATATTTGGCCTTTCTAAGAGTTCTATGTGAGTAGCCCCTTTCCCTAAATCTCTGATACATCTGTGTTTGCTTCTGCTTGAAATTGGGTTTCTTTTGTACAGTTTCTTTGTATCCGAAGAAATTGACTTATAGGTATACCTTGTTTTAGAAATTCAGGGTGGTGGCTTCCCGCATGTAGCAATGAGTTTGCTTTCCTATATGTTTTTGTGATTAAACTATTGCCTTGAATGGAAATGGACAGATCTAGTAATGAGATCTCCCTATAGTCATAAATATATGTTAATTTAATATTCCTATAGTTTTGATTCAAAAGGGTTAAAAATTCCCGAAGTTGGTCTATAGTACCCTCCCACAACATGAAGATATCATCAATGTATCTGAGCCATTGTGTAACATGGCCCAGATATTTTGGCGAAGTATAGACCTTCTTCTATTTCCCATAGTTCCAGATGAAGACAAGCATAAGCTGGGGCCCAGGGGGCGCCCATAGAGGTACCAAAGATTTGCTGAAAGAAGGCTCCCAAGAATTGGAAACAATTATGTGAGAGCATAAATTCCAAAAGATCAAGGATTAGCTAATTTTGAGCTCCCATTTTGGGATAATGTAGTTCCAAAAAATAGGCTACCCCTCTGAGGCCCCAATTATGTGGGATAGATGTAAATAAGGATTCCACATCAATTCCTACCAGGAGGGTACCTTCTGGGACCTGAATAGTTTCCAATTTAGATAGAACATCTCTTGTATCCTTATGAATGCAAGGCAATAACTAAATATTTGATTAATTCATCTATATATTTCCCAATCATTTAAAAGGGACCATTAACAGCTGAGACAATGGGACTACCGGGTGGTTTAAATGGGTTCTTATGAATTTTAGGAATCACATAAAAGGTAGGGATATAGTATGTATCAATTTTAAGCATATTATATTCCTGTTTAGGTAATAAATTAGCTTCATAAAGTATGCCCAAATGATTTTACGATTCAGAATATTGACTACTTTAGGGAATGGATTTTCTGGTAATTTTATATAAGTTCTTATATCGCTTAGTTGTCTTTTAATTTCATTTTCATAGTCATCACTGTTCATTAATACTACATTTCTTTCCTTATCGCTTCTTTTAATTACTATTTCTTTAGCATTACGTAATTCATCAAGGGCAACACTTTTACTTTTGGTTAAATTATCGGGGCAATTTTTTCCCCAATTAATTGTCCATAGTTTTTTATGGACCAAATCAAGGAAAAGGATAAGCCATTTATTTTTACTAATGTTAGGCATCTTCTTAGAGGGTAAGAGAGGGTACTTTTAGTCTAGTATTTCTCTTCCATTTCGTTGATGTTATTCCATCTTCAATTTCTTCCTCTATTACTTCTTCATTACAGAGAATTATTAAGTCACTAAGTGCTTGTTTATCAGCATCTGTAGTTAGACCTAATTTCTCAAGATGTTTTTTCTGTATTAAATGGGATTCTCAATGATTTTTTTCTCAAGAATAAATTCAAATCCTTAAATACTTCAAAAAGTCCCATTTTACTAGAGGGAGAAAATGATAATCCTTCTGCAGTAGTTGAAGATGTCTATACTCAAGACTAAATTTTGACAGGTTAATCTCTTTAAGATCATTGATATTATCTTTAATAATTGACTCAGGTGGCTGATCTAATTTTTGTGACTTCTTGTTCGACTTGTATTTGCTGTTACTTTGAGAGTATTTTGAGTAGTTTGTTCATCTTATTGTAATTTCCCTGAATTGTTCCCTGGTTTTGGGGTACATACAGTCTCCATATTGTTTTTTTTTTTTCCTAAAAAGCTTACTGATTTCTTAACATTAGAGTCCTCATCGTCTTCACTACCAGAGGACCTAGGGCCATTTTTACATGAAGGATATCTTTTACGTTTGGATCTACTCCTTCCTTGTGTATTTGATAAATCAAATATTTCATCCTTACCCCAATCTTCAATATCTCTTTTAAATGTTTGTTGTTTACTGATTTTCAGATTTTTTTAACCTTTTCAATCTCTCTTTTAAGGAGTTCGTTATATTTGTTGAAATCTGGATCATCTTTGAGAGGATCAAGGGATTTAGTACTTGTATCTATGTGTTCAGATAATTCAGTTAGTTTAATTTTTTCCTCTTCAACTATGAGGCGCATAATTTCTATACTATGCTTTATACATTTATCCTTCCATTTCTCCAAAAATCTTGGAGTATGGAGATGTTCAGCTGGAATTACTTTCTCCCTTAAACCACTCGGAATGATCCCATTCTCAATGTATGACTCTAATGATGAAATATCCCATTTTCTATTCAAATATTTTATTGTTAATTTTTTATGACTTCTAAATTTGTTTTTGATCTCCCCTCTATTGTCATCTGAGGCCTGGTTCATGTCTCCAGAGCAGGCAGAACGAATTTCTGCATCTAATTCTTCACCAATCTGATAAGCCATCACCAATAATCAAGTCGTGTTCACTATGTAAAGCCAAAAATTTCACAAACAAATTTTGTGAATAAACTTTCCTTAAGAAAAATGGCCAAACAGGTACATGATCCAGATGATGATCCAGATTTCAACAAACATAAGAACTCCTTAAAAGAGAGATTGAAAAGGTTCAAAAAAATATTAAAATCACTAAACAGCAAAAATTTAAAAGATATATTGAAGATTGGGGTAAGGATGAAATATTTGATTTATTAAATACACGAGGAAGGAGTAGATCTAAACATAAAAGATATCCTTCACGTAAAAATGGCCCTAGATCCTCTAGTAGTGAAGGCAATGAGGACTCTAATGTTAAGAAATCAGTAAGTTTTTTAGGAAACGAAAAAAACAATTTGGAGATAGTATGTACCCCAAAACTAGGGAACAATTCAGGGATATTACAAAAAGACGAACGAACGAACTACTCAAAATACATTCAAAGTAACAACAAATACAAGTCGAACAAGAAGTCACAAAATTTAGATCAGCCACCTGAGTCAATTATTAAAGATATTACCAGTCAGGCCTTGAAATTTCCACTCGCCTGCTCGCATTGGCGAGTGGAAATTATGGTGTGGGCGAGTGTGTCCCCAGGGCCGTCCTGCTGAGCAGGCTCGGAACTCAGGGCCGGATCTGATACTTGCACTGGGAGCCATCAGACTGCTCAATAGTTGACAAAAGTGAAAGCAAAGGAAGGAGTGTGTGCTGTGCTCTCTGTCTCCCCCTAGAGTGCAGTACCCGGCTCTGTGAGTGAACGTAACAAAGTACTGCAACTTTTTATAGGTGTGTGTGTGTATTTGTATGTGTGTGTGTGTGTATTTGTGTGTGTGTATTTGTATGTGTGTTTGTATATTTGTATGTGTGTGTATGTACATGTATCTGTGTGTGTGTGTGTGTGTGTGTTTGTGTGTGTCTGTGTATGCATGTGTGTATGTACATGTGTGTATTTGTACAGGTGTTTGCGTGTATGTACATGTATGTGTGTGTACATGTGTCTGTGTGTGCACGTACGTGTGTGTGTGTGTGTGTGTGCATGTACATGTATGTTTGTATGTATGTATGTACGCACATGTGTATGTGTGTACATGTGTCTGTGTGTATGTACATGTATGTGTGTCTGTACATGTGTCTGTGCGTGTATACATGTGTCTGTATGTGTGTACATGTTTCTCTGTGCGTGTGTACACGTTTCTGTGTGTGTATGTGTGTGTTTATGTACATGTCTGTGTGTGTGTGTACAGGTGTCTTTGTTTGTGTGTGTGTGTATGTACATGTGTCTGTATGTAAACCTACATGTATGGGTGGTTTGGTCAGGTTCAGGATTATGTGGTTATTATGGGTGGTAGAGTATGAGGCACTTGAGGTACTGCTGGGTTGGAAAGTAGGTAGGATATGCTTGGTAGAGTTATGGTTTTGTGAGTGAAAGATTATGGGGGGTTATGGTTGTATGCGATGCATGGTCTAAGTATGATGGAGTGTTTAGGGGGACATTGGAGGTCCTGATGTAATGTGGGGGGGACTCTGGGGACCCTAATGTAATGCGGGTAACATTTAACAGTGTAATTTCATGAAATAATTTACAAGGGCATGTTTAGGGGCGGAATTAGGGGTGTAGCAGGGTAGGGGTTGGGTGGGGCAACTGGTGGCAAGTAACTCTTAAGGCCTGGCAAGTAGCTCAGGACTTGAAATTTTAAGCCCTGATACAAATGATCTTAAAGTGATTAACCTGTCAAAATTTTACCTTGAATATAGACATCCTAAACTCCAACCACCAGGTCATCCCATTGTCTGAGCTGTTAATGGTCCCATAGAAATGATTGGGAAATATATAGATGATTTTTATACAAGGATTTAGTTATTGCCTTGAAGTCATATGTTAAGGATACAAGAGATGCTCTATCTAAATTGGAAACCATTCAGGTCCCAGAAGGTACCCTCCTGGTGGGAATTGATGTGGAATCCTTATATACATCTATCCCACATAATTGGGGCCTCAGAGGGGTTGCCTATTTTTGGAACTACATTATCTCGAAATGGGAGCTCAAAATGAGCTAATCCTTGATCTTTTGGAAATTATGCTCTCACATAATTGTTTCCAATTCTTGGGAGCCTTCTTTCAGCAAATCTGTGGTACCTCTATGGGTGCCCCCTGGGCCCCAGCTTATGCTTGTCTTCATCTGGGACTATGGGAAATAGAAGAGGTCTATACTTCGCCAATATATCTGGGTCATGTTACACAATGGCTAAGATATATTAATGATATCTTCATGTTGTGGGAGGGTTTTATAGACCAACTTCAGGAATTTTTAACCCTTTTGAACCAAAACTATAGGAATATTAAATTAACATATATTTATGACTATAGGGAGATCTCATTCCTAGATCTGTCAATTTCCATTCAAGGCAATAGCTTAATCACAAAAACATATAGGAAAGAAACAGCAGCTAACACATTGCTACATACGGGAAGCCACCACCCTGAATCTCTGAAACAAGGTATACCTACAGTATAGGTCAATTTCTTTGGATACGAAGAAACTGTACAAAAGAAACCCAATTTCAAGCAGATGCAACACAGATGTATCAGAGATTTAGGGAAAGGGGCTACTCACATAGAACTCTTAGAAAGGCCAAATCTAAGGCCTTAAGTAAAGCTTGTTGTGACTTACTTGATAATAGACGTGAAGATAATACAAAGAAGCAAAATGAACCTATTAGGTTTATAACTAAATTTGGCCAACAATGGAAGAAAGTAAGAGAAGTACTGCAGTCTCATTGGCATATACTAACTGCTAATTCACGTATAGAGGAGATAGTGGGCAATAAGCCCCAAATGGTAGAAAAGAGAACTTTTAATTTAAATGATCTCCTAGTACAATCAGAATTTAGAAAAATTCCTAAAGAAAATTGTCTGACCAAAATGGGAAAGACAACAGGTATGTTCCCATGTGGCCATTGCCAAATCTGTCCTTACGTACAGAAAAACCAAAGTTTCTCCAATGCAGATAAGTCAAAGATTTGGTAACATAAAAACTTCATAAACTGCTCCAGCAGTAGAGTGATATATATGCTTGAATGTCCCTGTGAGAAAATCTATATAGGGAAAACTAAAAAACCCCTAAGAGTACATATAGGTGAACATTTACATGATATTAGGAATGATCAGAAAGGTAAAACTGACAAAGAAAGGGAAAACCCTCTACCGGAACATTTTAAAGAAGTACATCAGGGTAAAACAGAAGACCTAAAAGTGAAGGGTATGTTTCTCCTTAATATTTCATCTAGAAGAGGGGACTTTAACAGAGTTCTTTTACAGAAAGAGAAATTTTGGATTTATACGTTGGGAACCTTGATACCCCAGGGATTAAATACCAAATAAAATTTTAAGGTTTTCCTTAAACAATGAGCCCCGCCAAAACATAATTCATATTTGATTCCTTATTTTCATACTGTCACTGTTACAGTAATTTTTCCCATGATCTGCTCCTGTACTGTTCTTTCTTGGCCTAATAATCCATTGTACATCATATGGACTAATATGCTTTCTGTTAGCCATTCTCCGATGATCCATATATGTCAGTCTTTTTAAAAACTGCTTTAGATTTTTAAACGTTGCAATGATGACATTCTGACACAAGAGGAAGCAAAACTGAATATATTATGCAAAAATCCCACTATATAAGGAATGGAAAAATGTCCCCTCCTAGTTCTGATAAAGTCCGCGATGATTGGCGGACGAAACACGTTAACGTAGTGACATCATCATGTCCATGCATCACCACGCTGAAACTTCCATGAGGAAGAAGATGTACGCCACACACCTCCATCTTGGATCCTTACTCGGCAAGCTCATATTCCCGGGAGTACTCTCAGTATTGTATGGCGATTTAACTGCTATGATTGCCACTGGTGGCAAGTAACCTCTATTATGCATAACGTTATGCTTTATACTTGCTATCAAATGGAACTTTTGTTAATTTTTTTTTTCTTTTTCCATAACGTTTATTAGAAACAAGAAAACAATACAAGTCAAGAGTACAGCATTAAGGGGATATCATATAAATCACAATGGTCAAGGCATGTAGAAAGGCACAAGCTTTTTAGGCTATACAATTAGTTGGAAATACTCAATCAATACATAATGTGGAGAGAGGATGTAGACTGCAAGAGATTACATCCAAATTAGAGGAAGGGCAAATCCAAATCTAGGTTTGGGTGTAGGGCTCTGCGTAAGGGCATACAGAAGATGTCTATCTGATCTGAAAGCCTAATATAATATCCTGGATTCATATGAGGATCAATGGGGGATGAAGCGTGGCACGAAACCAGGTAAGTCTACATAGGAGGGGAATGCAGATCGGTATTTCCAGAAAACTGTTTGTCAAGCCAAGGGGTACATATTATGTTTACAGAAATGATATGTGTGCCTAGCAATATGAAACTGAAAAAACTTTCAAAAAGTGTATACGGGAAGGAGCAGGAACTTTTATTCATAACTTACTAAACTGAACTTTTGTTCTTAATCAGAAGAGGAATTCATTCACTGCTAGGCCTCCAAAAGGGCATATCATTAAATGCCAGTTCACTGAATAACTAGATCAAGATTCTTCACATCTAAATATATCCATATTTGAATATTCTTTACTGTCTGCGTTCACAGGAGGATAATCTCCTTTATTGGAAGTTGATTTCAAAATAGCTTCATTCTTCAACGTATGTCTGTCCACTACAAACTTTATCTTGGTATAAATTCTGTTATCTCACATGTTTGAGTATTTTATTTATGACCCTCTCACTTAATTTGATTAACATATATATGTTTATTCACTCTAGATCCAAGCAGTATATTGCTATTTATAGCTGCTACCTTATTTAAGGGAAATCGGCCGACTTTGGTTGGCATAGCTCTAATACTTTTTTCATCGTCAAGCTACCTCCATGATGATGAGATACTGTGAAAGTAACATATGCCATAGCTTAACCATGAGCTTTACCCATATACCTTAACTATTAGACTGTATCTTGTATCTGACCTTACATGAATACCATCTATTTTTTACATTTATGTGGTGATTGCCTCTCTACATATTATTCATTGCCCACATTGATTTTCCAGGATTTACTCTACATGTCATTTCTACACCCAGAATTGATGATTATATAAGTGAGGTGAAGCGACTTATCCTCCTTCAGCTATGCTATCACTGGAAATCAGCAAGAAATTTCAGTTATGAAGATTCAATCACCCAGATAATATTGAAAGTGAACTTTCCATACATTTCTGCAGTCTTTTACTAATGAAGAAGTTTTCTTCCCTCAGAATATTCTTAACTACCGGTTTTCTAGCCATATGCAAATCTACCATTATTCAGCTAAGTGAATGCGCTGGACCTTTTGCTTTTGTTTTTGTTTTTAATGCACTGTTTTTATTTTTTTTGATTGACTGTGTGTTCACCATGTCTTATGCCCACCTTTCATAGGATCATTGTGATTGTATTAAAGATATTGTTTTGCATCCATTTTGATGTACTTTGTATTCTGCTTCGGATTTAAATACCGCTCTTTTTGCAGTTTGCTCTAGTCAACTGCTTAATTTTTGTATGTATCCCAGGTACCCAGGTCAAGCAATGTGCAATAGAGTGGGTACAATTTATTTTTAATAACTGTATTTTTATTAATGTTTTGACAATAAAAGACAGAATAACAAGGCAGAAACACAGTGATATCTTGCGCCATACTATTGCCATCGTAATAATAAATAATGTACAATAGGATAGTAAGGATGAAAACTTAATTAACCAGAAATATGTAACTAATGTTGTATACGATCATGACTTAGATTTGAAAAAAAAGTTATCCAGAGTATAAAGAAAGTTATGAAAACAAAAAAGACCTAACTCCCATGGAATGCTGGGGTATAAATGATAGCAATACCTTAAGAGTTAAAAACACTCATAGAACAATAAAGTTCAAGAAGAAACAAATGGAACTAAAGATAACATCAATGGTCATAAAAATATTCACACTAAGATAAACCTTCTGGAAATCATGTAACTGCTTTTGGTAAAATGAGTCATGAATAACTAA